ATAATTACAACTACAGTACATAATATTTCCATTATTGCAGTTGAGCATATCTTGCTTTTGTCATAGCTAAATGTCATATAAAACATTTAAATAATAACATTATTGAATTATGCATATATAATTATCATAGGCTTTTCTCCGTCTTTAATTCAGTCAGGGATGTATAAAAAAACTTATTCCATTTATTTATTCGGTTATAGTTACATGACTTTTTAAATTGAGGCCGCTAAACTGAGAGTGACCTAATAACAAAAAAATATGATTTTCAAAGGAAGGAAAATAAAAATGCACAATTAATTTAGGCGAAAATGAATTTGTATTTTTATTTGTGTAAGAATAATGTTTAGAGTTTTAGACCACTGTGCTCTACAAGAGCATCTAACATTTAGGCAGATTAACATTTTAAGTGTATAAAAATAAGTCTAGTCACAAAATTGCAGTTAGGCTACTCTGGATCTGGCGGGGTTAATTGTAATGGTGGGATATTTCTAATAACACAAGTTTGAGTTTTATCATCGTTTTTAACGAATAATTACGTTAAAAATAAACATGAGCTCCAAATTGTCGTTACGGATCAGAACAAAACATTTTGTCATTATATTATATAGAATATGCATTAGAAAATGACCTTGTCAGTAATCTTTGATTACTGAGCTTTTTTTTTAATTGTATTGAGCAACCTTATCGTGGATTGCTAATTGCGTTCGGGGAAAAGTTGTATTGTGTTGCGTCCGTTCTAAAGACACAGCAGAAATATTTCACCTTATGCTTACAGTGGGTTTCCTGAAGTAACTTCACGGTGGCCCAAGCAATCTCAACAGAGGATTAGTCTTCGTTTAGTTCTGTGCGTGATTGGCGAGTTGTAAATTGTTGTGCTTTAGTGAACGTAATTTGTTTCAACCCTCATGTTACAGGTAAATGTTATTCGTTTAGTGCATTGTACTTGCATTGCTTAAAATTATTATTACGTATTCTTATGATATAATAATTTTAACGGTATAAAACAAAATATGTTAAACTATGATTATGTTTGAATAAAAATCACACAAATTCACCTAAAAACTTTTACTGCGCGCAAACTTTTTTAAAATTTGTGGCAACAATTTTGTCACAATAAGATGAAATAAAAAGATCTAGACAACGTGGTAATCAATATCTTTTTTTTAATACAAAAGTCAAGTGTAAATTCGCTTATAGATCTGTGATTTTATATATTTTTTATTATTTTGACAACCTTCTTCTAGATAAATCAAACTTGCTGTACAGGTCCTGAAGCGGCCGGCAACAATTGTATGAAAATCCATGTCTGCCGTGTTCAGCCGAATAAATAAATAAATTTAAAAATTAGAACGATTTACTCCGCAACATGGCGAACAAAGAGGTTAGGACTTATCAAAGGTTTAATGTAGTTTTCGAACTGGCCGGAAAATCTGTATTAAACCTCTATAAATCGGATTAAGCGAACTATTTGTATGATTGTCTATTCGTGTCTGTCATTAAAAAAATCTCTTAAAATATTATCTCTTACATTAGTTCATTATAAAGTTCTTACGCGGATGTTTTGTACATTCTATTGTTTGATCAACTTTATGAGATTATTGGCACTGTGATTGATGATACAAAAAATGAAACAATACTCGTACCGGATGTATGGGCTACTGTATATCACGAAGAAACTCCTTTGGAATTCAATGATAACTCGCAGGAAATTATTTAAAAGTTTCTCCTTAGCGAGCTTTTAATTGCTGGTTTTTATTTCTTCACATAAAGTCAATACCTGATTGACTGTTGACTATTATTACTTATTATTCTAAAAACAAATATATTTTTTTTATCTAACAGGGTATGTGGCCACAACAATACAATAGCCATTTTTGACCTAGTGGCTAAATGATTTTAAGATACTTTCCTGTAAGAAATCCACCATTGAAACAGCCACATAAATGTGTCTGTCATTGTTTGCGAAACGAGATTCTGCTTAATTATTAACATTGTAACTGTATCGATCTTCTAAAAACTGCTTAATGAAATAAGAGGAATCCGGTCCGCGCTTTTTACAACTTTAATTAGAGCTTATTGTGAGCTTACTAAATGAGCAAAGGTAATTAATAATACAAATAGCATCGTTCTAGTCGCGTTTTGCAAAAAGACTAAGTTGGGCGAATTCATTAGCTTTTTTGCCGAATCTCGAACGCATTACAGAGGAGGATCTAGAACCGGAACTAACTTAATTGACAATGAGCAATGAGATAGTCGACGCCTTGTTTGGGTCAAGCTTACTATCTATCATGGAAGTGAGGCCTCTCTATAATTTTTACTCGATGATCAAAAGAAGGGTAATGATTTTATAGTCAGTGTGTTATTCTTAAGTACACAGTCACCTTTAATGAAAGAAGTTTTAAAGGAACTATAATAATATTTGTATAGTAAGTAATATAAGCCATCTAAAAAATTTACAAAATTTCTAAAAAAAGTGAAGACAGTCTTACCGTGTTTAGTATTAAAGTTACTAAAGTTAGTATTAAGGTTAGAAGCCCATTGTTTAGGTATTATAAAAAAAGTATTTAAGTATGATAGAGGATATGGTTCACTTGTAGGAGAAATAACCCAGCCACATGACTTCATCAACTTGGAGATACGGAAGCCCACAGAAAACCGAATCGGGATTAAACTTCACGGCTTTTTCATCTGTGAACGGTAGAACGGAATCCCGACATTTATACAACCCATTCCAATAGAAGTCCAATAAAGAAATATTATAAAATTATTAGAAACACGTTAGACTCGATGGGAATCAAACCAACGTCCCGTTGATTATATATATTGCTACCATTAGACCAATGATTTCGTCAAAATGATATCAATTTGGTTGTGTAGTTTCGCGTAGGTAGGAACCTATGTTTTTACAACGGGCTTACATTTCCGTACTTCGCTTATTGTTTAAATGTTACAATATTTAATTAAAACCCGAGGTCATTGCTCTTTGAGGCCAATATAAAAATGCATTTTACATCTCAACCACAGAACCGATATTCTAGTTTGCCCAGGGTCATCAATTCTGTGATTACTTTGAATAATTAATTGATCTATCTCGTAAGGCATATATTTGAAATATTGATCTTTAGCATCTTATTAATGATTATTTTGATTTATGGCCGCATATCTCGTTTAGCGACTATTTTTAATACATCGATGGTTATTATTGTGGGCTTGAAATAGGCCTAGTGTTATTTTGTTATTAAGATTAACAAATCGGATTTGAAAAATATTTGCCCAAAACGAAAGTTTAAATTGCTTTAAACAAAGACCATTTTATTTCAATTTGACCATTACAATAAGTACTTAAACGTACGTTTTTAGTAAGAGACTGTTAACGGATTAAAACGAGAAATATATTTTGAGTAAACTTCTTATAAGCACGACCCGCCTTCTAGGATGCTTTGCAGACTTGGTCTTGTAGGGACGGAGGGTTAAAATAAGTTATAACTCGCGTTTTAAACGATAAACATTAGTTTATTTAAATATTACCTAGTCGTGTAAATAACAGACAATCATTATATACCTACATTATAGGAATGTCTTTATAAGGGCCATATCTTAATACTGTCTGTAGTTTACGCGAGTAGTACACATTTATATAAACACTTTAACAGTTTAATACGCGATATATTTTAGTTAAACTTGTTTAAAAATTATTTTTAACTACAGTCCGACGTTTCGGTCACGGGAAGACTCCCCCGACAGTGTTTATTTAAAGGGGTTTATTTGGTTTTTGCATAGCATTCGATTCAGCCGTTCAGTGTCCACTGCTGGACATAGGCCTCCCCCATAGACTTCCATGGCATACCATTAAATTTTGCTAAATATTACCAGTCGCTATTCATTACAAATTTTTATACTAGGTTGCTATGCAAACTGAAAACATACTTCTTAATATAAACTATCACTTATCACTCGTTTAATTTAGAGTTTATTGACTCGTCTCCTTAGGTATGAACGATATTTACAATCACGCTATATACATGTGATATAGACTAATACAATTTTTAACAGTTAAGAATTTACGTAAGCTTATTAGTCATTAGGGAAATTGGAGTTTATTTTATACTGAAATTTTAACTTTGGGCTTAATTCAAGAACAACAAATTTGAATGCAGATATAGATTAGAACATGGTCGTAAAAACAATTTAACTGAATAGAGATTTATCCCAACTTAGCACATCGGATGTATTTATGTGTCCTGCAAATAATGTAACTTAAATTTACACAAGCGTGGCTTATATGTTAATTATTAATTAAATATATTTTGCAATGCACAATAGATTTTATTTATAATTTTTTGACAAAAAAAAGTGCAGAGTTGACGTTTATTGGCGCGTGTTTATGCGCTGTTGTGTTCTGTTTTGACGTCACTACTGAAGACGTGACGTAGAGCGAATAACGGCTTATTCTAGATTTAGTTGAATCAGCTGTCAAAAATGAATGTTCAAACTATTAGCGTTGAAATGTATGTAAAGTATGTTGGACTACGTCTGGAAATCCGGGTATCAAATGGGTACGAATTGAAATTCCGTCCGAGTCACGAACACATGAAAAAGTTATTGATTTTCCGAATATCCAAAGCTTTTGGATGTTGATATTAGGAAAATTGGTCCACAACGCATGTTGTTTAGATGTCATATGCGGCGTTTACCCTTTCATCAAGGTAGACATGCTTTTCTGTCCTTCTTTACCATAAAAAAAATAGATAGTTTGGGAGTAGGAAAATAAGAAACTTTGAGATATTAGTGAGTATATAAGCAATATTTTTTTAGACAAAAAAAATTGTATTCATAAAGTCATTTTGAAGACGGCTACCGATTTGCGCTTGAGCGGTTTTAGTACTAACTGATTGCGTTTTAGTCACAGTTGTTTTAATTTAGTATAGTGCTCGTAGGCTGTAGATTTGAGTTGTGTAACAGTCTTTTATCTTTATATACTGATTGTGTAACTTCTGCAGGTGTTGCCGCTGAGTTTGCCGGTGCGAGGGTGTGATGCAAGGGTGGTGGAAGGGTCCGCGCAGGCGCCGGTAGCGACGATGCGGAGTCCGCGCGCCGCACGGCCACTCGTTTGGTTTCTTCTACTCGCCATACTGGCAGTGACAGACGCATCTAGTGTAATAAGTTGGTATCCTATTTGTCAATACTTTAAATATTTTAGAAAGTATCCTATGATTTATATTTAGGCTTGCAACGAATACTATATTCGGCAGTAAACCGAAAAACTAATTCGGCAAAACTATTCAGTTACACTTGAACGTCACAATTTAGATAAGATCAGATATGTTTGTAATTGTTCTTACCGTGTTAAAATTGTTTATCTGTTCGAAAAAGTCTAAGGAATCGAATCGACGTACTTCGAAGATGATTTCAATGACTTTAAAAGTAGGAAAAAATCTGTAGATGGCTTCGGAAAGGCGACAAACGTAGGGATTCATCTTTCAGTTCTCTAAAAATATAAATATCTATAGTGATTTAATTAAATACTGTCTATAGTTTAAGCGAGTAGTACACATTTAAATAATCAAGTAATTTAATTTTCTTTTTAACAATTATCGAGTTCCTATAACAAACTTAAGTACCCAATAAAAATAAATTTAGTATTCGGTAACCGGAGTTGTATAAAAGTCGCCGAATAAGCCGAATCCGAAAAGTAACCGAATATTCGTTGCAAGCCTAAACTATATCAATCTTAAAAAACCGAAAATAAATTGAAAAAATTTTCGACTCGGGCAGGACTTGAACCGGCATCGTCAGCTTTGTAATTTCATCTTCAATGATTTCTTAAGCTGCAAAGCATAAGACATGGAGCCTTAATACGCAAGTGTTAAGGTAGAAATTACATTGCGCGAGAGGTGCATGTATCAATAAGTTGAAAAAAAAAAATTCGACGATGAGGTGTAGGACTCGGTAGCTCAATTGGTAGAGCAACAGCACGGAAAGCTGACGATGCCGGTTCAAGTCCTGCCCGAGTCGAAAAATTTTTTCAATTTATTTTCGGTTTTTTAAATTATATAGTGCCTTCATGTGCAATAACATGTGAAAAATATTAATGTTTTCAAACGTTATAACTTTGTAATTTCATCTTCAATGATTTCTTAAGCTGCAAAGCATAAGACATTGAGCCTTAATACGCAAGTGTTAAGGTAGAAATTACATTGCGCGAGAGGTGCATGTATCAATAAGTTGAAAAAATTCGACGATGAGGTGTAGGACTCGGTAGCTCAATTGGTAGAGCAACAGCACGGAAAGCTGACGATGCCGGTTCAAGTCCTGCCCGAGTCGAAAAATTTTTTCAATTTATTTTCGGTTTTTTAAATTATATAGTGCCTTCATGTGCAATAACATGTGAAAAATATTAATGTTTTCAAACGTTATAACTTTGTAATTTCATCTTCAATGATTTCTTAAGCTGCAAAGCATAAGACATTGAGCCTTAATACGCAAGTGTTAAGGTAGAAATTACATTGCGCGAGAGGTGCATGTATCAATAAGTTGAAAAAATTCGACGATGAGGTGTAGGACTCGGTAGCTCAATTGGTAGAGCAACAGCACGGAAAGCTGACGATGCCGGTTCAAGTCCTGCCCGAGTCGAAAAATTTTTTCAATTTATTTTCGGTTTTTTAAATTATATAGTGCCTTCATGTGCAATAACATGTGAAAAATATTAATGTTTTCAAACGTTATAACTTTGTAATTTCATCTTCAATGATTTCTTAAGCTGCAAAGCATAAGACATTGAGCCTTAATACGCAAGTGTTAAGGTAGAAATTACATTGCGCGAGAGGTGCATGTATCAATAAGTTGAAAAAATTCGACGATGAGGTGTAGGACTCGGTAGCTCAATTGGTAGAGCAACAGCACGGAAAGCTGACGATGCCGGTTCAAGTCCTGCCCGAGTCGAAAATTTTTTCAATTTATTTTCGGTTTTTTAAATTATATAGTGCCTTCATGTGCAATAACATGTGAAAAATATTAATGTTTTCAAACGTTATAACTTTGTAATTTCATCTTCAATGATTTCTTAAGCTGCAAAGCATAAGACATTGAGCCTTAATACGCAAGTGTTAAGGTAGAAATTACATTGCGCGAGAGGTGCATGTATCAATAAGTTGAAAAAATTCGACGATGAGGTGTAGGACTCGGTAGCTCAATTGGTAGAGCAACAGCACGGAAAGCTGACGATGCCGGTTCAAGTCCTGCCCGAGTCGGAAATTTTTTCAATTTATTTTCGGTTTTTTAAATTATATAGTGCCTTCATGTGCAATAACATGTGAAAAATATTAATGTTTTCAAACGTTATAACTTTGTAATTTCATCTTCAATGATTTCTTAAGCTGCAAAGCATAAGACATTGAGCCTTAATACGCAAGTGTTAAGGTAGAAATTACATTGCGCGAGAGGTGCATGTATCAATAAGTTGAAAAAATTCGACGATGAGGTGTAGGACTCGGTAGCTCAATTGGTAGAGCAACAGCACGGAAAGCTGACGATGCCGGTTCAAGTCCTGCCCGAGTCGAAAAATTTTTTCAATTTATTTTCGGTTTTTTAAATTATATAGTGCCTTCATGTGCAATAACATGTGAAAAATATTAATGTTTTCAAACGTTATAACTTTGTAATTTCATCTTCAATGATTTCTTAAGCTGCAAAGCATAAGACATTGAGCCTTAATACGCAAGTGTTAAGGTAGAAATTACATTGCGCGAGAGGTGCATGTATCAATAAGTTGAAAAAATTCGACGATGAGGTGTAGGACTCGGTAGCTCAATTGGTAGAGCAACAGCACGGAAAGCTGACGATGCCGGTTCAAGTCCTGCCCGAGTCGAAAAATTTTTTCAATTTATTTTCGGTTTTTTAAATTATATAGTGCCTTCATGTGCAATAACATGTGAAAAATATTAATGTTTTCAAACGTTATAACTTTGTAATTTCATCTTCAATGATTTCTTAAGCTGCAAAGCATAAGACATTGAGCCTTAATACGCAAGTGTTAAGGTAGAAATTACATTGCGCGAGAGGTGCATGTATCAATAAGTTGAAAAAATTCGACGATGAGGTGTAGGACTCGGTAGCTCAATTGGTAGAGCAACAGCACGGAAAGCTGACGATGCCGGTTCAAGTCCTGCCCGAGTCGAAAATTTTTTCAATTTATTTTCGGTTTTTTAAATTATATAGTGCCTTCATGTGCAATAACATGTGAAAAATATTAATGTTTTCAAACGTTATAACTTTGTAATTTCATCTTCAATGATTTCTTAAGCTGCAAAGCATAAGACATTGAGCCTTAATACGCAAGTGTTAAGGTAGAAATTACATTGCGCGAGAGGTGCATGTATCAATAAGTTGAAAAAATTCGACGATGAGGTGTAGGACTCGGTAGCTCAATTGGTAGAGCAACAGCACGGAAAGCTGACGATGCCGGTTCAAGTCCTGCCCGAGTCGAAAATTTTTTCAATTTATTTTCGGTTTTTTAAATTATATAGTGCCTTCATGTGCAATAACATGTGAAAAATATTAATGTTTTCAAATATATCAATCTTACATCTTGTTCAATACCAACACAAGTTGTAGGTATTTGTTTGCGCCAGTTCTTTAAAATGCTTTGCATTTAACTGCTGCGATTTGACCATGTTAATTGAATAATAAATAATGTTAAAATATTCATTACTCTTAATTGAATTGAATATTGAATAAAAGCTTACATTTTTAATCTAAATAGACAAGCAGCCTTGTCCAGTTATGAAGCAATGATAAATATCTTATAGACGAGAGATATTCGCTTCTATTTTGTCCATCCATATCTCCTTCCAGAATAATTGTATAACGAAAGTAGGGTATAGGTCTCTTTGATGTCTTTAAAAATATATCTAGTAATAGCAGTAGTAGTGTAATACAAAGTTTATTTCCGCGTGTGTGTGCGCAAATGACACAATTCCACAGACTATTGCAGAATGATTGACGTGTTGCCTTCTCATGCATCTATGGTATCAAGTAGAGCGACTAAATATTAACTTAACTCGTTAACGAGCTTAAGCAACATTAAGATTTGAATATTAAGGTGTATGCAAAATGCCTTTTTCGATCCAAACAGCCAGACGGCACGCAAGTAAAGCCGGTTACATAAAATGTGTAGTCTTGGCGGGCGACGCGGACGGTTGGCTGTTGCACAAGCAAGGTGTACGACAATTCTACTCTTGCGCAACCACTTCGGATCTCATGCATAGATCACATCGTACACCTGTCTTTCAATAGGATAAACATTTGATTTTAACTTTATAATTTTATGGACCGTACCGGTGCTTTGAGATAAGGCAACTTGTATTTGTAGTTTTCGTGTGAATAAATCTAGTTTAAACGAGTTAAACGTGATTTAAAGAGTAAAACTTCGGGCTTTTCGGTGCCACATCTGCTGTAAAGCATATCAAACTATAAAATATATATCGTAGTAAACTTTGATACAATTCTTATATAATATAGTTATAACCAACTTAAAATAATACACTAGGTTAAATTTTACTAGTAATGCTAAGCATAACTATAAAAAAGGTAGATATAGGGAGCAATGACTGTTCGCTGCATGGTAATTTTATGCAACTTAAACATACATAGGTATTTACTTACCATTCGACAAATATAGAATTAGTTTACCTTAAAACATCTTAATTATCATAATTCCTTGTAATTCAATGAGGATAATATAACATGCGTTTTTTTCTATCGAAAGAGATTAGTTAATTTTCAGTATTTCATTAGTGTATGTATGTATACATAATCATTATCATTTTATTGGTTTGATATTTATAATATTACGCATTTATGCATTAATTAACAAATGCAGTTAATCAGTTTACAGAATAGCTTCCTCGCTCGTTATTATAACAAGCGAATGAAATAAACACATTATTTATACTTCCGGATGTTTTGTTTTACACTAAATAGAATATTATATGATAAACTTGTGCAATAACACATTATTGATTTGCCCCCAGAGATGCGGTACATAAAACATTATAATCATTTATAACCTTGATCAACCGCTTGTTGCTATGTGAATTTACAAAGAAATAATAATAATAAAACATAGATTCTTTGTTTTACATTGAAGAAGATTGCAGAATACTTATAATTAATTTATTATGGTATAACGGATAGATATTAATATCTACGCAATTTAAGAGGTGAAGATCGTAAATACGTACGTTTTGTCAGAATTCTTCACTTTTACGTCACACTTACAACTTAACATCATTGGACACGTGACCACGTTAAATACATCTAATATTTGACATCAGCGGAATGTTTTTATAGTGTGTGAGTGAGGTAAACATTAATTACCAAAATATTTGCGCAGGAGTGAACGGGTGGCGCCCATATTATCTGTTCGGTAGGTACGTAATAAGAATGCGGATCTGAAGCTCTAAATCAAGGTAAATGATCGAGCGGCGACGAGCAGAGAAATAAAGTTGTATCATCTTCGTGAAAAAAAGAGAATACGTTAAGCTGTAATATTATGAAGTTCTGATATGTTATGTAATGTAATACATCTATATACATAAACTACATCGTAGCTGCTTATATACTTCTAGCGTTGGACGTTCTTGCTTTCTGAGCTAGGTATAAAAATAGTTTGCAATTAATAGCTCTACTTTAATAGAAGCCGTTGATATGTCATATAAAATACATTTCAGTTAAAATTACACATAAATAAAACAAAAGACAACTAAAAAATAAGCGGTTTGTAGTTACGTGATATAAGCTATAACTTTTAAAGTTATAAACTAATACTTCAAGTTATAACACACTTAACTCGTCGCAAACTTAATTTATTGTAAGAAAAACTAGTTACAACTAATCAACAAAATACAAAGATACTACATAGAACATAAAAATACAAGCTCTTTAATGAGTCACTAGAGAAAAGCTAAACACCATTTATATTGGTATATATTTTTCACAGAGGGTCATAGAGCACCGTGCTCCAACGAAGGAGAGCCGGTTCGACTCCAAGACGCACGACTTGAACACGACTGGAGTAGCTGTTTCCGCTGCATCTGTAAGGTACTTATCTACCATATCTCGATCGTAAATATATAATATAAGGTACCTGTGACTTATGTTTTTATTGGAATAAGAAAGGTTCGGTTCACGTATAGTTTCGATATGAAGGAGGCTATTCTAAATATTTTAAAATAGTCTTTTAGAAATTGATGTATTTTCGAATATTATTAAATGTTGGTAGTGCAACAATTCGGTTACCTGTTTGTAGGAGGTAATATAACACTTTAACGGTTTAAAACGCGATATATATTATTTAAACTTATTTGAAAATTATTTTTACTACGGCCCGACGTTTCGGATGCTTTGCAGCAGCCGTGCTCTACGTGACCACGCGTATATATCGCTTTTTAAACCGTTAAAGTGTTGTATTTAAATATATTGTTTATTTTTAAAATACTTTTACAAAAGCTGCTCTGTTCTTAAACCGCGCAGTTGATCAATAATAAGGTAAGCACTTCACGACAATAATTGTCTCTGAAGATCTGCTTAAGGGACGTTTGTATTCAGCCATGGTGGCCATAGTCAGTATATAAATTTATCACGCACCAACCACGGAATTACAATTCTGACACACACGTGCGACAAGCTCTCACCTAGACAATGTACGATAAATAATTCGATTGACCTTCGAATTCTGCTAATTCACGGGGAAACCCCAATAATTCATTTCACACTTTTACAATAATAATTGTAATTTAAAACGAATATTATTTTGACACTAGCTGTGTCAGCGACTTCGTCCGCGAGAATCGTTATTTTGGGCATCTAAATTCGTTTTTGATTTTCACATCCCTTCATCTTTATAAACATCAGTTGTTAGCCACGACGTTGGCCGCTCTCTTACCGTCGTTCTTGCAAGTTAACTATAAAAGATAGACATAAAGTGTTGCGAATATTTTTTATATCATTTAAAGAGGAATATATCCTTTCATACATATTTGTATATAGTATATTGAACCGTTTTTGCAGTGTACGCATCGGAAACTCGCAAAGATGAATGATTTTCCCCGTTTTTTTCACATCCTTCGCTCGTATTAGTCACAGCGCAATGTTTTATAGCCTATAAACCTAAAATTATTTTTGGATTCAAACCAGTAGTTACTGAGATTGCGCGTTCAAACAAACAAACTCTTCAGCATTATACATTAGTATAGATATCACACATCTGGCAGAGATTCTTAACCTTTACTATCGGAAAAAGATAGTAGCGCGGTGTTAATTGGTCTGGTAACTAAATGACGGCAGAAACTACCGCCGCTAACGAAAATAAGTTTGACATATTCACAAAGTAGTATGAAATACAAAGTTGATGAAATTACGTAATCGCATTAAATGAAATCCGTTGACGGATTTAACGGGACGCAAGCGCAGATGTGAAAGTCTACCGTTGAAGATTTTTTATGCGTTTACGAAGTAATAAGCGAAGGGTCTGAAATTAATTAATACATCTCAATCGGTTCTCAATTCAACCGGAATAATTAATCGTAAATATTACTATTTCTTTTTTACTTTCGACGCTACTTAATAAAAGTAAATACGTTTAATCAATGTTAAAGAAAACATCATTTTCAGAGTAATATTTAATTTTACTTACAATGTCATTACAAAGCTTTTCGCCATATTGCAGTACGTACTTGAAATTACTTGGTTTTAAAATACCATTACCTGGAAATTCTTATTAAAACCAATTCTATTTGTGTATGTACTCAACTAAATTTATTTATTTTTCCTTATTCTTAGAAAGTAAATTCGATTTAACACCAATATATCCGCCATCTTGAGTGTGCCGCCATGTTGGATTTTGAGCTGGTATTATTATAATAACATAAAGTTTGTAATTGTTGTAGGTACAAGTAAAATTTAATAAAAATAAGCATGTGAACGTATCAAATAAAATAATACTAAAATAGGCCTCTCATGAATTGTAAATTTCGTTGCAATGACAGCCGTTGGCACAGACGGACAAGACAACAGTAAATACCACATACAAAGTATGAAATATGTGATACCTGTATTTATACTTGTCGGTGTGTGCGTGGTATTTCCCAGTCGATCGCACCTCGTCGGATGACTTGTGCGGAATTCGAAAGCCCATCGCGAGATTTATCGTCCATCTGTGTTAAAAATTAAAATGTGTATTTACTTGCCTAATGGTGTTTTGCCAGTTGTCACGTGCCGTATAATTATTCAAATAACGACGAGCTAATAAGTCCTTTTTTGTGTAGTTACTATTTTTTGATTGGAGAAGGTAATATGGACGTTGCTCTGAAACTAAATTACACAATATAAACTATGATTTTACTACACTTAAGAGTCAATCAGAATATGAAATAAGTAGGATTTGCATGGTGCATGTTTGTTTGATGCACAGTGATGTATTGGTGCTATGGACTATTGAAGTGTGAAAATCTGAAATATACGTACGATGCGATGTTGACCCCACTATTATTAGCCTTTTTCTGCAGTGAAGTAACAGTCAGATAGTATCTCTTCGCTCTCGGCTACCGGTCACCGCTTACTTTAATGAGCCATGTCATTTATCGACGCAGGCGCAACGATTACAGCTTTCTGTCACGGAATTACTCGAGAGCTTCGGTTTATACCGCGAGTTGGTTTGCGGATTTAATAATGTTTAGAATTTTTATTTTACTGTTCATTACAAAACTAAAAAGATTAATTGGAAGTTAAAACAAACTATTCATATATATTTGTTAGAAATCTTGATGGAATTATGGCATCTAACACCGAAGTGTTTTTCCGAGAAACATGTTTAATTATATTATATAAAATTCTCGCTTCATGGGTTGTAATCATGCATCTAGGGATTCTTTATGACAGTTTAATTGAATCGTGTCGAGCATTTTCTACACTCGACACGTGAAGCGGCTATGACATGTAAATGAATATTTTACAAGATTTCCATTTTTTGTTTTACCCGATCACTTTTTGAACGAAGCGTAATTGTAAATTGTGATTTCACCAACAGCTTTCCGAGAGTCCACTCATACGGTACTAATTTTCTTATCTCTTCTTGACTTAGTACCTAGATTGGATGTCATTAAAATAATGAATTTCATTTATATAGATTTAACCATTTCTTTACTTTGATTGTTCCCTTCTTATTATTTCAAAAAAACACTGAGTCTGAGTATTGTCTGTAGTTTAAGCGAGGAGTGTATGAATAATACACTTTTAACGATTTAAAACGCGAAAAATATTAGTTAACTAACAATTTATTTCAACTACGGCACGACGTTTCGGATGCTTTGCAGTGTCTCCCTGTGATCATGGCTTTTGTTTTACTAGATATAAAAACAACCAGTATGTGTTATTGTGGGTTTCTATGGAATTAAGAACTATTTTAATATGTGTACAACAGGAACTTAAAGTAGGATAACCTTATGTTTTAGAGCTTTACGAGCGGTTCTTAGAGACATTCGCTAGTAGAGATAACATGGGAGTATTTTAGTGAGATTTAAAAAGTGTATGTGGAGTGATGCCATGGCTGGGCCGGGCACGTGAAAGTGGGTAAGTGGACAGTGATCAGCACAGGTGCCGGCGAGGCCTTGCCGCGAGCGCGCGCGCGGTATGCGGTCGCACCGGTTCTTCTAGTAAAGTTGATTTTTTTACACGCCACACATCAAACGCTGCTCATATATTTTACTATTATGCAAAAAATGTGGTCAATGTTGCTATCGTAAAATAAGTTTTTACATTCTTAGTCGGATGGCATTGAGAAGGGCGTTTCGAAATTGTTCCGCGGCTGATGTTGGTCTGTTATGGTAACATGAGACCGATATTTGTGAACGATAGTAAACATTAAGGCGTCCGAGCTTGTTTTGTATTCAAATTTAGCATCTCATCACATGATGCGCGGATAATTTTGAATTGGAAATGAAGTACGTCAACCAATAATAGAAAGAATGAAAGCAAGATACTGATCTTGTATGTCACTCCTAATTACTCTCCTTGTATGCTTAAATTAATTTAACCAAATCAAACTTTTACATTGGAAGGTGAACTTTTTTATAAAATAACTACGAGCTCGATGGTATAAATAATAGTGAAAATGTATGTAAGATCGAATCGTGGCTCACCGGGCCTAACACTTTTCTAATCAATTTATTTTTTTCTAAAACATCTAGATTTCCAGACTTCGTTTGGATCATTGATCTTAGTATATGGAAGGAATATCGAAATTTTCTTTACGTCCGTATAATTGCGTTTCGGTTTCAGCTGAAAATCAAAAAAGGTTGACAGCGTATCTTGTTTAGATGTAATATGGCTGCGATGTTCCACCTACCATCAAGTAAACTCCAAACTTGTCTATCCTCCCCTATGAAAAAAATGTTATAGAAACTTTGGGGTATAAAAGTTAAGCAACTTTTAGATCTTAGAACTCAAAATGTTTACTACATAACAGGACCTCTTGCGTTTAAAACAATGACTAGAGCCGTGGCATTTGATACGTACTTAAATTTTATGATTTGTTCTATTATATGACGAGTAACTAATTCCTATGATCCATATCTCGTATCTAGATCTAAATGTATCCTACTGAAGTGCAGATACACTTACACCAGGCGCCACGCACTCAGCCTGTGCTCCGCAGCCCACGGCCGGCCTTGCTCTCGCATACCAGGATCATTTACTTGCCTAGATACAATTACAACACCAACATTGTATGTATTTTCATACTATAATTAGTGCGAAGTGTCGAGAGTCGATTAAGCAATGTTTGGAGCAAATTATTAATTCGTAGTACTCGCTAGCCAAGACAGTATCATTAGCTGATTAGAATCATTCCCATGCCTGACTAGAGCTTTTAGAGATGACATATGTCATCCAATTTTTTTATCTAGCTCACGACATTTTACTGCACCGGAGAGCATATCTAAAGATGTACGCAATACAAATATATTGTTTCATGACTGAGGGTCAAACTCCTGTACCGACGAACGTAATTCGGGTGCGCACAACATTAGACCAGTCCGGCGCAG